AATCATGTTTCCGAATACCAGGGATAAAAATCTATGAGTAATCACCATCTGTTTTATATGGCTGCCAATTTACCAGCTCTGTTGTAGGACATGCTCACGCACTTCCTATGGTAAGCCACAAGGGGATAAGCTGGCTTCCCACCAGAAAGATCGACAAATAGTTCTTTCTGCAGAAGTCACCTAAGGCCCTCTTCTTTCCCAGGAGCCTTAAGACTTCAGCTCACTTTTCCAGCCATATAAAACAGATGGTGATTACTCATAGATTTTTATCCCTGGTATTCGGAAACATGATTCCTCTGTTTTTATAAACCTTGTTTAAGTTCTAAAAGCTAAGTAGTTGGGATTAGTTGGGTATTTAATATGAGACCACTGGGTAATACCAGAGCAGTAGTCTTGACTAGGAAGCCAGAATAAAATTCTAGAAGAAAGCAATATGAAGCTGCTTTTATGTTGCTGCCTAGAAGACCAAATAAGCATGTCGCTAAAATCACCAAAAGCTGAACTCAATTAGAGGAAATATTAATTTTTCAAAATAAAGTTCTTTGGCCAGTTTAGGATATACCTTCCCCTCAACAGTGAAGGTTTTCCCTCCATCCCCTTTACTTTACCATTTCACAGTAGCCCCATCTTCAGACACTTCAGCTTCAAACTCCACTCTTTCCCCAACTGTGACCACTTGGTCTTCCAGAGAATGAGTAATCAGGATGGGAGGCTCTATAAATGAAGTGAGAATTTGATTTCAGAATGGAGAATATGACAGGCCTAAAAATTAAGATAGATTCGTGGTAATTCTTCCAAGCCGAGTTCTTTATTGTTTCTACACCTATAGACAGAATCTTGCCAGAATGAGCACTCTACTATCTGCATCTATCATATACTCCCAGAACTATTAGGGAGGGGCTGCTTTGACATCTTTCTCTCACACAAAATATTTGGATTGAGTTGTTTCTTATTCTTCCGGAATGCACCCATTCCCTGTGGGATCCACCTCCTCACTACCAGAGGTGGGTTCCTACCGGTTCAAACTGGTTCAGCTGAGTAGGTAGTAACTCGCCCACTCACGCACCCTGTCAGCACCATTGTAGGCTCCGCCATCTTGTTTTTTCCTTTTCCGCATGCATCAAGCATGCCCGAATCACATCCCTGTGGTCTCCCTTTAACTTTTTCCTAATACCTTCAATAGTATCAAACAGTTGCATCTTGCTGTTTGAATTCTCCACAAAATTCATAAAATAACCATAAGGTAATACAATAATTAAAAATGGCAGTCAAACTCAGCATTGCTCAAAATAATGTGAAGGAATGGAGACCTTAGGAAGAGGAAAGGAATGAGCAAATGGTTAGGGGAGAAGTTTTGGATAGCATTACTGTCCAAATGAAACTCAACTCAACACTGCTTCAATTTTGTTTGGTATAATAGGAAACAAAGAAATTCTGATAGGCTTTCAAGATACTCCTAACCTGCATGGCAACTTAAAAAGCATTTCTGGAATCTATGCTTTTTCTGTTTCATGATCTCCTTTACCTTGAAAGTCTGACATCTATCTTGAAAGTTTTTGTCAAGGTTTCTCCCTCTACATTTTTACACTAAACAAAATCAAGGTAAGATTATTTTGAAATTCTCATCTTTTCTGAAATTCTTCCTTTAACGATTCAGTTATTCCTTACCCATTTACAAGGTCAAGACCACATTCTTTCATACTACAGAGCTCACCAGCAATTACTTTAGATGTGGCCCACTCAAACAGTCTTCAGCTGCAACTCAAGTCACCTTCAATTAAATCCAACCTCTATATGGGTTTTATATGTTGGAAAGGTTGAGCTAGGTCACTTTCCTGTGAAACAGGTAAAAACTCATCTTATACTACCTTATTCCCACTTCCCTGTTTTCAAAGTAAATATGATCACTTTTGTAAAAGGTATATGCCACCTTTTTTGACTCTCCATTACTTCTCTTCCTTTTCTCCAGCCCTATAATTATCAAGTTTGTTTCAGAAAGAACTGAAAGCTGCTTCTTTGGCTGAGAAGATGAAAGGACATAAGTGAAAAAAATGGAAGAAAGATTTAGAATTAATGGTTTGAATCATATTGCTGTTTAATTTTTAGTTGTAAACCAAAACCATCTGCCCATAATAGTCAACACTAACACATCTAAACACCAACTGTATGTTTTTAGAATTACCACGCTTCTTTATCCTCCTTTAAATGGACGCCCTAACCTTGAATGCAAATCATTATCTTTTAAACATATTTTAAAAGAAGATATCTAAAATTGTCTCATATTTTAATTCTAATTCAATTCTAATATTCTCTAACCCAAGTAATACAGGAATGCAATATGGAATCTGCACAACTGATTTTAGTTGTATTGATTTTCATTATAAAATACAGTAAGTGTGACACTGATTTGTGCTATTTTTAAAAAAATCTCACATGTTCCCTTTGCATTTTATTTTTTTGTCAAGGTACACAGAGTAACATTCTGTAACCCAATCTTAGATATAGTTGGAAGCAAATGCCATTTCATTCAATCTGGCTAAGTACCAAATGAGCATGCAGAAGACTTTCACGTTCACAATAACCTATTAGCTTCTGCAGGGAATTCAAATATTTGACAATCTCATGGAGTAATTAATATTCATTAGAGAAGCAGAAATATTTATAATGCCTTCTAGTAGGTAAAAGTATGGTAACTATAGACATGCATAACGTTTCTCAAGTTCAGGAAATAATGGAGAAAAAAGAGAAGATGCCTTACACACATACACACACATTAAATTGTTGCCAAAAATAACATTGAGTTGTCAAAATTGCAGCAACATGAAATGTAGGATTACAGGAAGTTGTTCGAAATCTTTGAATTATAATCTAGGTCTTAGTCTGTGTATCTCATAGACCAACCCAACAACAATGATAAATCATTCACCTCTTACAAACAGTTCTGTGAAAGTCTTCTCTTCCCCAATCACGCATTGATATGCTGCGTCATCAGCCAATGAGCAGTGGTTTATGGTCAAGATCCTTTTATTTCCCAGAGATTCAAAAATATATCTAGAGAAATGCAAATGAAGATGATGGAATTTGCAGAGATGGCTAAGCTGACTTCCTTGATTATAGAAAAGACAATATTTATATTTATTGCTGACTAGCAACCTCCTCTAAAATCTTTGTGGGTAATAGAACAAAAAAAAAATAAAGTTATGATTTACAGTTTTGATGGTTAGGAAAAAATAGGGGTTTTTTTTGCAATCATAGAGTAAGAGATAATTTTGTATATGTTATTGCTTATTGCTGTAAAGAAAATTGGAAGGTACATTCTATTTCTTTTTTTTCTTACTTTTCCCCCACAGTTCTTATTAGTTTTTATCTTTTAAAATTCCACAATAAAAATTATGTTTAAAAAATGGAAATAGAATTTAAAAAAAACCTAACACAGAATAGGTATCACCTAGATTCCTAGGTATTTTTGATCAGCTATGCTCACATCCCCATATTCTATACAGTGCGTAGAGAAAAAGGATAAAAGATAATTGCAAAGATTGTAGTAACAAAAGAACAAGGAACAGTTACATTTTTAAAAGCGAAAGAAAATGCAGCAATATTGATGGGGAAAAAATGGAAGTAGGTGAAAAATCATTAAATAAGAAGCCTCCACCAGAGTGGAGTGGTTAATTAATAATAATAAAATGAATACAAGTGTTGAAATAATTTGGGATGAAATTGAAGTGAAGGAATGCTTAGGAGGAGTGTTTTTGAGATTTGTATAGGAATAGTAGTGATAGATCTTATACCTTGAGTAAGTTGGGTGGCCTATACATTTTATAAACATAGAAATAATAAACAAACAAACAAACAGAATTCAAGTGAATGCTATAAATGTTAATGTTCAAGAAAAAAATGATGAAAAGAAAGTAATACTTGCTGTCAGAACCTTGAAAAATTATAATTTTTTAAATAAAATTTATAAAGCCACAAGCATGGATGGTAAAATATGGAAATTAAAATATGGATATGGTTTACATATAGAGTAATAGTGTGATTTGTTTAGCGTGTGTAAAGATTTATCTGTTCTTAATAATTGGAAGAAAATTGTTGTTTCTTAACACAAAGTGAAAGACAGTATTGCAACTTCACACATAGTTAAAAACAAACAAGATCTGCATGAATGTGGGAAATAAAACATTGTAATTTAAAGAAAGCATACATGAAACAATAGCTTGAATGATGGAATATTTAGTGCAAACATGGACTTGATGGTTGATTGCTGAATGCAGTAAGAATGGCATATATATGCAAATAATACTAAAGTGCACATGACAATAAAAGCACTCTTTGGCAGATGGCTTAGCTGTAAGCATCAGAATGAGGATTTGTGATAAACCACTAGATTTAAAAAAAAACGTATTCATGAAGAAAAATGTAAGAAATGCTTATGATGAAATTAGAGGTGTATTTCTATGGATAGGAAGCTATGCATAGTTACAGTATGTATACAGAATGAAGGTGCTGCAATGTTGCTGGCTCGCAATCCAAATGATTTGCAAGGAATGTTAGATTGCATAATGTGGTGAGAAACATGGAGGTGAAAATTAATGTATAATGAGCAATAAAGTTGTGTTTGACTGCAGAAACTGTGTGAACAAATACTTAATGATGAAAAATTGAAGCAAAGAGATGGATTTAGGTTCCCTGGTAAAATGTTTATCAAAGAAGGGAAGACGGATGGAGACATTTTAAGACAATATTGTGAATATTATAGAAAAGTGGTAGGTAACATATATAGTAATGGATGTTTATCAAAAGAAGGGGAAACTTGTTTATATGGCAATAACCGCCTGCATTCTGAGGAACATCATAGAAGTAAACTGACTGCAGGGGAAATATACCTAAGATATATGCGGCAAACCAAGAAGCGCTAGGTTGAAGAATCAATAGTGTCAAATGAATGTGGATTTTACTGCAAGAATGTTCAATATTAAAGAAATAAATTGCGGTGGATTGAGAGACTGACTCAAGAAAAGGCATAAAACAAATGCATGAAGTGAATGGATTGAGAGAAAGGGGAAAAGTGAGAAAGTCAGATGAAATTAATGGGATCCTCAAAAAAAGAGAGGAGAGAGAAGGTAAACGTATGATATGGGGCATGGGCACTGTGATAACAAAGACTGTTTTCAAGGGCAAATGTATGGATTGGTAAAGAGTGAGTTGGGATAAACTACATTTAGCTTCTGCCAACCTAGCAATTTGAAAGCACATAAAATATGCAAGTAGAAAAATAGGGACCACTTTGGTGGGAAGGTAACAGTGCTCTGTGCGCCTTTGGCATTTAACCAGGCTGGTCACATGACCATGGAGATGTCTTTGGACAGCACTGGCTCTTCAGCTTAGAAATGGAGATGAGCACCATCCCCTAAAGTTGGGGACGATTAGCACATATGGGTGGGGGAACCTATTACATTTAGCTGTATTTCCTTCTCTTTCTCTTATTTCGTGCCTTAATTCCCTTGCTGTATATGGATATGCTTTCTTTCATGGGGCTCAGTGTGAAATAACTCAGCAGATTTTCTTATAGATCCTTGCTTGTTGCAGGGAGCTGCTTCTTTCTTTAGGTTTCTCTCTTTAATAAATCTTATCTAACACTATTCGGATGGTCCTGTGCCTTCCTGCTGATAACAATTGGCTTATTACCTTATATCTTTCCCCATTTCTGTGCTTTGCATAATGCTGCTCACCCAAAAAGAATTGCATAATGGGTATGAATTATACATATCCTCATCCTGATCTAGATAACAAAATAACGTGGAAAAGACTACTAAGGGGCTCATCTATTCCTTGGGATGTGCATGAAAACAATTAAACATATAGCAGTTATTCATGTTACAAAAAAACCCACTAACATCTTCATAAATTGCTTAATAAGGCAGAGGTAATTACCATGGTTTTATGTTAGATAGCTTATTTATGGCCAAGTGATCATGCAGTATGTTATCATTAGTTGAATGATACTCACTTAGGACTAGTCAGACTTGTATTAGAAGACCTCAAAACTAGATTGACTCATTTGTAATTTCAGCCCTTCTATCTAATAACTGGGGGGGGGGGGGAATCAGCAAAATTATATCCTTTGCTATCTTGTAGATGAAGGAAAGTAGAAAAAACAAGAAGTGCAATATGAGGACTTACTTGCTAAGAACAAACGATGGATGGGGTTCATTCAAGGCAGAGATGAGTAAAAGAAAGAGAAAAACCAAGTGTGAAAAACTACATGAATTAGCACTCTTATAATATAGTAAGCATTAATCCCACCTCATCCTCTCAACTGCTTATAGCTTTTGTTGATATTGGAGGTTTTTGGAGTGAGTGGGTAGAGGTATCAAAAGATTCAAGATCATGGCCACTATTGTGCAATTAAATCCCAGTCTTTATTTATGTGAGTTGCACATAAAAATGGGGTTATTATATAGTTGCAATCACAAACTTGACATTTTTTTTACCCCCACCCACCCATAGATGCCTCTGGTTGCAATTTTTTCTCCCTCTCCATTCTGATGAAATTTCCTTCTTTCCCAGTGTTGGTGATGACTAGATTTCCTACATTCCACATTATATCCATATAACATTTTATATTGCTGTATAATACTAATCCAAATGCTTTCATTTTGTTCTCTTGATTACCTGCCACTCACTTGGATCTCTTGTCCATTCTTGAGCCATTTTACTTCCTCATCTGGGTTAGCAAGTTCCACTGCTAATTTGATTTTCTGTCCTTTGTCAACTTGATATGCTGGATCCAACCTCTTCAGAAATGCTGTTGACAAAATGGGTTTATAATTAAGATTCATGTTATTTGAATACATCCTATAACTCAGATGCTGCCAAATGGAGACCTCCTGGCTCTATTAATCAAAAGCCATTCTGCTTTTTTTTAAACCCGAGTATATGTTTTTGTGATAGGAAAAAAAAGTAGAAATGTAGGTGGGGAAAAAGAAGCAGGCTAAAATTATATGCCTAGAAGGAAAATCCCACAACAAAAGTGTCATCTGGAATTGCTTAAGAATGACAAGAAATCCCAAGAAATCCCTTTCATCCTCCTGCATTTAAGTCTGCATTTAAAATATTTTCATGCAATGCATTTTAGATAGTAAGGTAAAGGTAAAAGTTCCCCTTGCACATATGTGCTAGTCATTCCTGAGTCTAGGGGATGGTGCTCATCTCTGTTTCAAAGCCGAAGAGCCAGCGCTGTCCGAAGACATCTCAGAGGTCATGTGGCCTGCAGGACTAAACACTGAACATGCACGGAACACTGTTATCTTCCCACCAAAGGTGATCCCTATTTTTCTACTTGCATTTTTACATGCTTTCAAACTGCTAGGTTGGCACAAGCTGGGACAAGTAACGGGAGCTCACTCCATTATGCGGCACTAGGGATTCGAACCTTCAAACTCCTACCTTCTGATCAACAGGTTCAACATCTCATTTTGCCTACATAAGGCAAAGAAAGATAAATCTTAAATAAAAGTGATTGTTATGACATTCTTATGACTGATTCTGATTTTTTTTTAAATTATTCAACTTGATTGTGACAGAAGAAGGGTAGATAAAGGGACAGGAAGAATCCAATCTGAGTTGGTCATTGGGATCAGAGGTTTGTCCTTCCAAGCTTTTGGGCTCATGCGTCAAGGAACTTCTCAATCTCCAGAATGCATCCATTGAGAATTGAGATTGAGAAATTCCTTGAGGATGGGCTCCAGCATGAGTCCAAACCCTTGGAAGAGCAAACCTCTAGTCCTATTGATGAATTCAGATTGAGTCCTACAACATTATCCTGAGACACCTACCATGTTTCCCTGAATATAAGACAAGGTCTTATTTTCTTTTGACTCCCCTAAATAAGCACTTATTTTGGGGGAGGTCTTATTATTTTTGAAGTGCAGGAGGCGGCGAGCATGATCACCTCATGGCTGCTG